TTTTTTTTGTTTTTTGTTTTTGATAAGGTTGATGTATTTCAATCTTATATCTCGAATTATTTTTCGATCTCTTGAGCCTGTGTGAGCCTTCAAAACGATGTTTTTGTGTTGACGATTCTTAAAACTTTACTATCAAAAGGATGTACAGAAGGTTCCAATCTTATCATCGCGTTCAGTTTTTGCAGTTTTAGTTTAGATTTTTTATTGAACCTTGAATCGTTTTCTAAAACAAGAAAATAAATTGTGTGAAATCGGCTTCTCTTCGTATAGATTTACTGATTATAAAGTTTTGGTTATCTTTCAAAATTGTTACTTTAGTTTACTTTAAACACGAAATTCCATTTTCCTGGCTTTTCCTGCTTGCCCATGCAGTGGGACTCTAAATGCATCTTTCAGTTATTGAACGAATTTGCATGTCAGATATTCATCACTTTACAAATGTTATTGTACTATTCATTTTTTGCATTTGATTCTATCCCAAGAAGGGCATTATTTTTGCAGTCACCTAATTGTATTTCTAAGGCTGGATAGCGTGGATTATCATGCATAGCCTTCATTTTTCTGAGGATTATTTTTGTTGTGGCGGCGGTATTCTCGTTTATTATTATTATGGACATTTTTATTTAATCTGTGAGATAGGTTACACTTTACAACTTTGCGGGATAACCTAGGCTAAGTTGCTATCAGTGTCTTTCGTAATATCTTATCGTCATTCCTTATCATTCTAACAATTACACAAGTTCTCTTTTCCATTCATCTTTCTTGCAAGAGTGCTTTTAATAGCGATAAAATTGCTTTACGATTTCCGCATTCTGTGATAGGATTCATTTTTGGCTTTTCAGCAGCAAATATCTGGTTTCTTTCTCACTCATCATCTTTGAGCGTTCTCGTCGTATGTCTGTATTCCTCTTCTTCTTTTTCTTCTTCTTCTTCTTCTTATAAATGTTGTTTCTGTTTTTTGGGGGGTCTTTCGGTACAAAAATATTAATGATAATAATATAGATGCAAACATTTCTCACTTCTGATTGGTTGAGAGCAGTGCTGTTTTCCTGAAACACCAGTGCAAAAATGTGAAACACCAGTGCAAAAATGTGAAACACCAGTGCAAAAATGTGAAACACCAGTGCAAAAATGTGAAACACTTTTCAGTGATTGGTTGAAAACGGACAAAAGAAATTCAAACTAGTCAATCAGATCACAGCAGCTGTCATAGCAACAGAACAGCCTTCTCTCTCTGGAAGTTCTCAGAAAATTCAAGATGGCGGATTTTCATCTTCAAAATGGATTCAAAAATGCTAAAAAAGTCAAGCTTCATCAGTTGAAAACCAGCAAAAAAAGGTTGAGAATGGCAAAAGGAGGACTCGCTGCTTGTTATTTGAGAATTAAGAAGGAAAGAAAACATCAGTTGGGCTATTTTACAGCTGTTCAGGGTCACTTGACACGAAAGTTGAAGCGAGAGACGTTGAATCTTGATGTTGAAACTTCAAGAGCTTTCGCCTAATTTATCCGTAAAGAGGTACATAATACTTCTGTACAAAGAAAGCAGCTTATTCAACTTTCCTTTGAGTGTTTAGGAATTGAAAAAATAGGATATTTGATGATTTATGTAAGTTTTGCAGAATTTCTTCGCAATATGCTTACTTGTTTTCTCAAAAAATATCAAATATTTGAAGTCTTGAAGATGAAAAAAATGATTTCTAAAAAAACATGTTTTTACTTTTTAAAGATCAAAAGTAATCTTTGTTATTCATATTTCTTTCCTGTTTTGTAAATAGAATATTGTTTTATAAACCGGTTTTTGATAAAAACAAACGAGTTCTTCGCTTCGTGCATTTTTTCCAACACGTCTTTTTTATATCTAATTTTGGTTCGAAATTTTTGCATCTATATTATTAACAAGAAATCGCATGGTATTCTCGTGCACTTTGGAATAAATTTGCACTCACGGGTTTTCGAAAAGCTCAAATAGCACTCGCCTATCGGGCTCGTGCAATTTTGAACTTTTTGAAAACCCGTGAGTGCAAATTTATTCCAAAGTGCACTCGAAAACATGCGATTTCCCATACTAATAAGGTCTTTTTACTATTACTATAAACCTACTAATGGTCTATCATGCATCCCGCGCTCTGATTGGCTGAGCTACTAGTAGTGTATTAGTGATAGACCACTAGTAACGAAGAGTGCCAGTTTTGAAAACTCAAACAATAGCGGCTTACTCGCGTTTTCAACCTAATTTCAAAATTGTTTTTATCCATTTATATGACCGATTGGTAGGTTTAGACTTAAACAATTAGAACTCTTGCCCTTATGGTATACGAGTCAAAGGCCATTCGCATAAATAGAGCATGCGTAGTCTAATTTCTGTCACGTGATCAACTAGCTCCACCCTCTCTTAATCACTTGGCAACAGTGGCAACAGTGATTTCACGAAGAGAATGTTGAAAAAGCAAAAGTAATTTTCGAAGGTAGAAAACTCACCAGCCACTTAGCTAGGATAACTGGATAACTAGCATCCAACTAACCAAGATTCGCCATCATCGTTGTTACTGGCCACACATGCGAGCGTTCTCCCCGCGCCGCGACAGTAAAGGAGACAAAACGAGCAACGACAGATATGGGTGCTCGTTTAGGCCAGCACATCCCGCAGTGTAGACGGCCACTCTCTACTATTCCTTGCGCTTGACAGTTTAATAACCACTTTCGTGGTTGTCAAGTCACCATAAACTAGAAAGCTTCTTCGACACTCAAGTAACAGCAAGTTTCACAAACTTTGTATCATCAATCTTCTCCCATCTTGTCAGTCAGTCAGTCAGTCAGTCAGTCAGTCAGTCAGTCTGGTCAGTCAGTCAGTCAGTCAGTCAGTCAGCGTCAGTCAGTCAGTCAGTCAGTCAGCGTCAGTCAGTCAGTCAGTCTGTCATTCATTCATTCAGCGTCAGTCAGTCAGTCAGTCAGTCAGTCAGAATTGCTATTACAGCAGCTTTTAGTTTCGAAGTATGATGTAACCTCTATATAAAAAAATATTGCGCTCCGTATTTTAAAAAGTATCGGGAAACACCCTTCATCGCTCACTTTATCTTCTCGACATACGCGCATGCATCTGTTCGGGAAACATTTTATTTCAATTTATATTCTTTAAACCACATATCAATCTATCAGGATAACATCAAATGTAGTTCAAATAGAGACGCGTCACGTCAGATATTTGTTTAGTTTTGTACAATCTCTTTCCAAGTTCATTCAAATYATTAAAAGGTTTGTGAAGGACGAAATCATTTTTAAAGGTACTTAGAAGACCTGCTTTTGACATCAGAATCTGTAGTAAAAAATCACAAGTAAAAAAAGGTAGGAATTTAGTTTAGATTTATCAACGGCGCTTCTTGTTCTTGTTCTCTTTTTTCTTCTGTTGCTGTTTCCAACGTCCATTATTCCCTCTGTTTTGTGTTTTACTTTGCTGCTGTGTTTCGTCACCAAATATTTCCTTTAGGAATTCCTCTTGTTGTCTGTGGATGATTCAACAAGAATCACTAGTAAACATTATTGTCCACTTTGATATCTTTTCACGTAGCAGATTTCCATACGTTTGATTTACCTACCTTTTATTTCGCCTCCTTTCAAAATATCTGACGGTAAAATGAAAGGCAATCAATCCTGTAATAATGTAGGCGGTGACGGGAGTATAGAGAATCAGGGTGATCTTGGTTGTCTTTTGCTGTAAGTACAAGGCCCATTCTTGTGTTTTTGTAATGAGAGCAGATATGGCATCTTTTAATTTGATTGCAGTGACAGAAGGTGTAGGAGAAATTTCATATAATATGGCATCGATTTGCTCGTACAAAAGCTTCCATTCTTCTCTTCCTGATCTTCTCCTACTGGAACCAGATTTAAGATTCCTAGGAACATATTTCTTTGTGTGTAATGAGTCGCGTCTTTTGGGCTCGTGTTGTGTGGCTTCATCACTAGTGGATTTACGAGGTGTTGTAGAGTCAACTGTTCTTCGTTGTGGTTGAGCCTTGTCATTTGATGCGGGTTTTTTCTGGCCATGATCAAAATCATAGTCACCATGTGAAGCGGTAAATTCTGTGCTTGGGGGTAAGCGGCTCGTGCCTGTTGAGAAATAAAAAAATCTGTGTCAGAATGAAAGGAAGAAGACTTGAGCAAAAGCAACTGCTTTCTAGATGTGATTCAGTACGCCTAGTAAAGGATGAGATGTTAGTCGAAGGATGGGGAAGGATGGGGTTTTGACGTCTTGACGTAGGTCTGTATCAACACGGGTTACCTCACCAGAGACACCTGTTACAGGGCTGTAACCTTTGCGCTGAGTCAAGTCATATGAATGAAAGCCTTTACAGAAAATACAAGAAGTTGGTTTTTCAATAAGATGAGGAATGAATAGGAAAACAAGAAGCCTTTCTAAGCTCCTTCTTCAAGCGGGTCCTACAGGAAAGTGCGGTTGTCTTTTTATATTAAAAAACCAATCTAACATTTACCATGATGTAATTGCATGTCATCTACAACACCAAGGGTCTTTTTGTCATGCTTTTGGTCATCGTCCAGGGTCAACTCGATTTTATCAGCAGAGACAACAGGTGTTGCAGTTGATGACAAGTGCATGTCATCTACAGCACCAAGGGTCTTCTCGTCATGCTTTTGGTCATCGTCCAAGGTCAACTCGATTTCATCAGCAGAGACAACAGGTGTTGCAGATGATGACAAGTGCATGTCAGTTACAGCACCAAGGGTCTTCTCGTCATACTTTTGATCATCGTCCAAGGTCAACTCGATTTTATCAGCAGAGACAACAGGTGTTGCAGTTGATGACGAGTGCATGTCAGTTACAGCACCAACGGTTTTCTCGTCCTGCTTTTGATCATCGTCCAGGGTCAGCTGGATTATATTAGCAGAGACCTTAGCTGTTGAAGGTTCAGTACTGTAATAACGAGTGTCATTGTACAGGTGCTTGTCTTGTACTCCTGCTGGAAGATGAAGAAAAAGTATGAATGAAATTAAAACTGTTAGATAAGACCACATACTATAACATGCCTGATAAATCAGTAGAAACAAGGAAACTCCCCAAAGTTCTTTCAACAAGTTGGATAGAAGAGTATTTAGAACAATCAAAAGTTTTTTTATTAACAGCAGTTAACTAGTATTGGAGGGATATTGTACGTGTATGAACAGAATCCCTCTGGCTTAGAAGACTTGATAGCCTTACTCAGTAAAGATCTACTCGCCTTGACTTTGCATGTTTGTTTAATACTGATCACTTTTGTAGTTTGATGTAACATCATTGACTCACCATCACTTGGCAATTTCTCCTTTACTGCATGTTGTTTAACAAGATGTTTAATTTGTATTCTCCAAGTGATAGTCGGCATGGTAAAACAATCAAGTATTTGTACCACGTAGTTCCTCAGTGAATACCATAAAGATGGTTGGGCTTGTGGGATCGGAAGAGTAACATTATTGAACTCCGTAATGTTACACTTGGGCCAGCCTCCTTGCAGTGGACAAACTGTCGTCAAAGGAAATATAATCATTATTAATTATTCAAGTAGGTTTTTGGTGTAGAATTGCGTACATGGGAATCATATGAGAAAATAGAATTTAGCTGGGTGTTGGTTGGTTTAGAAAGAAACAAAAATCTCACCATCCTTGGCCAGTTGTTCAGGTTTTTCTTCGTACACTTCTATATATTTCTTCTGCAATCTGCAATCTTTTGCAGGTATCRAATCGTAATAATAATCATGTATCCCATCGGTATGGTGGATACACGTCACATACATGATGTCCGGGTTCTCCACCATCGTAGCGTTTAGTAGAGATGCTTCTAAATTGAAAAACAAGAATAGAATAATGAGGTGAATAAGATATAAGATTATATAGGAAGAGTGAATAAAACAAGACATGATTGACGCTGATGATGATAAGATGTTAGATTACGTAAGAAGAGTGAATAAAGCAAGACATGATTGGCGTTGATGTGGTAACGTTCTTTTCAATTACTAATGACTTTTGCAATTCTTTAAAGACGATCGAACCCTCATTCGACAAAACTTCGTAACATGATCTTTCTTACCGAAATAATCACCATGGTGATGAAGTTTGCACTGAATGTCTCTAATTTCATTTTTATCAATTTTAACTGGATTTATATACGTCGAGATTAAGATAAGCACGAAAGTAGAAGAGAGCGACATCTTGATGTCCACTCTCGTTGCTATTCCTTGCAAACTAATTAGATCAATGTGTGACGTAACAGAAGCCATCATCAGTTAGAATAGTGACGTATATACACAGGGTGACCGCGCGTTGATGTTGCATTTTAGCTTATTCTCTTTAATTCACATACGTTGTAGATTTTGGTAGTATGTTAATTTTAAGACAAAGAAAAATTGAAGGTCACCGACTTTGTTTTCGCGCATCTCTAAGGGTTTGAAGAAGCGAAAAAGTGTTTCCTTGAAATTTGGCTCATCAAAACATTGGAATGACGCCATTTTGATGAGCGCGCACGCACTAAACTCATGCATAGAAAGGCCTGAATTTAAACGGCAATAGACTGCGCGAGCTTTCGGCGATTTTCGAATGAGTGGATCTCGTTTTTCAGTCAGTCAATATAATATATAATAATTATAATTGTGTTATCAAATGATACAATTATCATAAATTCTAAATAGCTATAGTATAACATTCCATTCATATTGAATTCAAATTTGAATGTAGATTTGTAAAACCTGACATAATGTTCTGTTTGGCTTTAGAAGTTGTCGCCCACAAAACTATCTGTGTCAACCCGTCATGTATGGAATGCAGCTACGAGATTCGGACGAGAACGTGAAGAAAGAAGGCAAAGTACCACTAACAAAGGTAAGTACGACAATATCTACTTTTTATTTGCCAAATTCGAAAAAAAAAAAAATCTAAAAATGCAATTCAAACCAGTGCCAGAGTTTTGATAGTCTCGTTCACAGCCGTCATTAGGTTCGGTCCCAGATACTAAACTGACTATGATCGTTGTGTTTATATGTCACTTGTATTATAGCGTCATTTACTTCCATTACCAGAATCCCTTGCAACCAGAATTCCTTGCACACTTTCTTTTGTACAGTTAATTAGCACCAATCGTTTTACTATTCTCATGAGGGAATACAAATTTGAATAAGAAAGAAAATTCGCGATGCATTTTGGTAGTTGTAGTAAAATGACGCCATCATGCAAACAGCCTTTTGCAAAAGGTTTTGGGTTTCTGTTTTCATTCGGATGGTCTTTTAGCTTTTTAAATCTAATCACATCCCATAATCGCCAATAATAATTGTTTAAAGTAACACCCCTGGTGCTGTCAACATCTTGGAAGATGCGTGTTACTTTAATTGGCCAAAGCCGAACTCTTTTAATGGCTCGTTGCTTGATACTTTAGTTACAATATAATCATGCATATCCTCATCTTTCCCTTATCTAGAAGTTTACTAGATTGTTCTCAAGGAAGTACCATCCTCGTTTAGCTCTATTTTTTCGCTACTTATTATGCTTCATGCTTGGAGGACTCCTTGGTCTTATTCCTTACTTCATATTCTTGGTCGAGCTCTGCAAAGGTTTGCAATATTCCTGTATTCAAGAATATGCTGGTGAGATGTGCAAAATAGCACACACCATCTCTTCGTTTGTGCCATGTTTTTTTCCTCTCCTTTTCCTGTTTGTCTTTGTCAAACGTTTGTTCTTGTTTACTGTATTGATGTTATTTTCATCAAAATGACATCATTCATTCGAGTGAATGCCTGTCCAAGGTGTTAAAAAAGGTCTCTATCATTGCAAGGTCACCGCCGTCCACGCTTCGGTGCAAAGGCACGGTTACCTTTCAAGATGGCGCAGAGAACTTTGGAGGGAACTATTGCTTTCTTATTCTTTCTTCTTTTTCCTTCTTCATATTTCTTGTTTTTGCCTTTCCCCTTTGCTTTCCTTTCTGTTTTCTAGAGTACAATTTTCTCTTATTTCATACAGCAAGTCTCGCAGTCAAAAATGTTTATCTTCCTTCTTCTCCAAATGGCGGTAGCGAAAGCCTCTCAGGCAACGCTCGAAACGGCAAGACCTCAATCGATAATTTCACTAAATTGCAGCTGTTAACACGAGCTAAGAGGGGTAGGTTTTCTAGGAGAATTACTGCATGTTGCGTCTTTTTCCACATCAATGGGCTATTTTTACTTCTATCATATCATCTTAGCATCTAAGTTGTAGACTGTTAATTTTTTACTTTGGACAACTGGTTTAGGTTCTTAGAGATTCAGATAAGGTTAACGGCCCGAGATAGCCTGCAAGTGTACCATAACCCAGAGTCTTGTTTTGTTTGTGTTATTTCTTTTGTTATTTCAAAACTCAATACATTATTGTTCGGCCTTGTTTAAGCGTCAATAGGAATGTCAAAAGTGTTTAATGGGAACAAAAGGTTCCGTTAGTTACTCGTGGGATTTAAGATTAGAATGACTTTTTCTCCCTTGTCTTGTATTATAAAGCAAAAACATCTAAGATTTTTAGAAGCTTTAATGACTGCAAGGTATGCATTAAGGTCTTTTGACATGGTCTTCCTAATAAATAAAATTTATCTTAATCATACTAATTTCCTCTTATAATACTTACTCTCTCCTAATATTTCTAAGGCATCGGCAATAAAGATTTGACGGGTTTTCAAAGTACTGACCTAATAGTAACAGACGTCCAAGGCGTTATTGTGCCGAGTACTTTGAAATCTCGAAACGCTAATGCGAGTATTCATTGCATGTTCTTTGCTTGTAGTTACATTACCACCAATACCAGTGCCAACCTCTTTTCCAACATCCCTTAGGCCAACGAGAATAGCAATCAAAGAGAGAACAGGTATGATGACAATTTCCATTATTGTTGCTAGCTGTCTTGATTATTTCCATCGCGGCTTACGGCAATCTTGAAGTTCTGTCCCTTAGTTCTGTTGAAGTTGCCGCTGTCACTGCTGCAGTACTGCTGCTGTTCTTCAGAACACTGGGGTTTCAAACGCCTCGCGTTACTGCTGCTGCTCTTCAGTTGAATATCGTCTTTTTAGTATTTTTCTTATTATTGTTGCTCCTTTTTTGTTTTTTATGCGCAAAATTAAATTTAAAAATGCGGCTAAAATCTTTTTCAACTAAAATAGATTTTAGACTTGTTACTGCATAATTTGATATTACTACTCTACCCAGTATTTTTTATCGCCTTCGTAGCGTCTGTTATATATGAAATACATTTTAAATTGACCACGTGATACCAATGTTGTACCACGTGGACAGGTTTTTTTTACACCACGAAATGCACTTGTACTTAACATGACAGACGCTACAAAGGCGATAAAATATCACTGCCTCGGTATACTGGGAAAAGTAGTAATACTAAGTGCTGTGTGGTTGTTTTTGTTGCCACAGCCATTCATTCTGATGCCATATTTTGTCGTTGAAATTTTGTGTTTAACAGTGGAAGGCAAAGGGAATGAAGATATTTCTATCCAGTGCCTCGGTACTTTCAAAATCACACGCGTCTTGGCGTTTGGTATCGTAGGAGACACAAAGACTGTCACCGATTTTGATCGATATTGTCAAGCTAATATCAAGGACGTGGATAATGCTAAAATTTGCATCATCAGTCTCAAGAGGGTCTACAAAACTAATTATCCTCCGTTTATAAGCACTAAGGTTACGTATAAGTGCACCTACTTTACACGAAACTGAATCTGTCTGACGAAATGCCGTTACTCCGGCTTTATAAAGTAGCACTCAACAACAATACCAGAGAATCGAGTTGCCCCGTTATTTTCAAACAAAAACTTAAAAAGGACATATCTCAACTAAAGATGTAATAACTCTTTCCAGTCAAAATATTAAATTATGTAATAATTAGCTTAGTAGTAGATAAGATCGAGAGAATGAGAGAGAGAGAGAGAGAGAGAGAATGCGTGTGGGTGAGAGTGAGAGGACTAGTATAGCTTAGGACCTAGGATTAGAACACGACCACATCAGCTACGCTGTATATAACATATCGTGTATAAATAAATATTATTATTATTATTATTATTATTATTATTATTAATCTGATATTATTAACTGATCTGAAGAGGTTTAATAAAATCTCATGAGTTTCTGGTAGTTTTATTGTTTCTTTATCAAAAACAATTTTGTATTGAGCTTTTCAACCACTTGTGGGGGGTTGGACACAGCGAAGCATGACATGGCAGTGGAAACTGACCAATATACAGTCAATTTWAAAAATGTTGTCGTCGAATAACTCAAGACTACGCGACTGGACCGAAAGGAACTCTGGGTAGCAGTCATTGAAGCCGAGTTGAGTCCGTAATTTTATCTGACTAGTTATGCCTGGTCAAAAGCAAGAACCTTCGTAGGCGAGCGGGAAATGTTGAAGGAGACGTTATTTTGATGCCTTCATATTTTCGGAATTGTGAACTGAATCATAACTACTTTGTTTTTCTTTCCCTAAACTCGAAGACATGCATTTGATGGATCGTTTCTCGCCATTATTATCTTATTACTAGTGGGAACAATTAATTCAGAGCGAATATTCAACCGCTTCAGTGATTTTTACCCATATTCCTTTCGGTCCAGTCGCGTAGGCTTGAGCCGGTCGATGACAACGTTTTTTGAATGGACTGTAAGATCCCTCTATTTCGAGAGAGGGAAAAACAAAAATGGCGGAGAGAAGACAAGTACTGAATTCCACAGGTCAGTCATAAATTTTGGCTTCAAAAGTTGATTATGAGTATTGTTATCCTCATTCATTGCCGTGAGTTTATTTTCATCTCGATTTATTTTGCCTGAAACTGCTTTTTTTCTTATTTCTGGATGGGATGTTACAGGCGCAATTTCGTTCTGAAATAACTTGTTCGCGACACAAGTTTCGGTTGCATAAGTGAAAAGCAGTTCTACTTTTCGTGAAGGGTGTCGCTAAGAAAGTTTCACAAAACTTAACTTGCACCGTGTAACACCCCCGTGAAACCAGGCGCACCACCCTAAGTAGTAGTGGTTTCAGATTTCTCTGGTAAGGGATTCCTGTGACTGATCCCTGTGACTGATCCCTGTGAGATGGCTATTTAGCGATAGAGTTCAAATTCTCTTCTAAAATCAAAGTAGTCGGTATTCAAAAAAGAATTATCTGGAAATGAAGATTAATAATTTATTATGTGTCTTGAAGTGTTTCTTTTTTTTCTGCCAAAAAGCCGCAAAAACGCTTGTTTGGGGTTTAGAAAGTTCGGCGGTCAATTCGACTCGCTCACCTAGTGTAAAAATGAGCGAGTTCTCCTCGATCAGCAAGATCAATGTTAGCAGATTCCACAACCTACTTTAGTCTTTTAGTATCTGCATAGTCTGAATCCTTTCGAAGCTAGCCTAAAATAAAACATTTTAATATAATGCTTGACCTCTGATCAGCGAGGTAATGTTAGACGCTCTACCCCAGCCAGCCAATTTTGTATAAAGTGCGACGCATTTTCTTATGGGTCACAATGCATTTCGATTTGGCTCATTAGCCTCCCAATTTTATAAATAATGCATAGGTACATATGCACTGGGTGAAGGATGGTTTTGAAACCACGTAGTAAAGTTTTATTGGCAAACTGACAGCTTGGTCGTCATGTCACGCCACGTGTGTGTAGAAAAGCTACGAACGGAAAAGTTCACTGGACTGTCTAAGTAAAGTACAGTATTGCAAAAGAAAATGCAGAATAAATGATTCTCGGTTTTGTTTAAAATGATCCTGGGCACTCAACTTGCTGCAACAGTTCGTGGAACATAGTATAGATGACGATGATGATTGAGTCAAATGCATAAGTACGTCTTCTTTTCAAGGGTTACCACAAAAGAAAGGAATGATTGACAGGATGACAGGATGAGTCATGAGACCTGAAAACATCTCTTGACCTAAGATATTAAAGATCATTCATGACGACTATGACCTAATGTGTGCAGAGCAACCCTTTGTATTTTCATCCGTCTGCATTAACGGACGGGCATCTCTATTTGGCTGAATCATGCTTTACGCAGCCTTGGTTTTCGTTCTTCTCGGCCAGTGCCTTGCAGATCTTTCTTCTGAGTACGACCATTTCGTTGCATTGGATCCTTCACAGAAGATAAAACTCTACTGGACTGTGGACCAAGCTGAAGAGAGCATCTCGTTTGCTGTGGAGGCCGTCACTACTGGATGGATTGGCCTTGGATTCTCACCCAGTACTGGCAGAATGAAGGGAGCTGATATCGTGATTGGATGGGTTAAGGATGGAAAACCGTATTTAACGGTATAAAGCTACTGTGTTGTTGCTACCGGCCTTTACTTTGTCGTAAATTGTCGCTGCGTGCTGCTATAGATTTTGTTTAGTTTCTTGACAAATTTTGTACAAGCATTTGCGCATAGATATAGATGTCTAATCGCCTGGATGGAGCATTGCTACAGTCGAAACAACGATGACATACATTATCTATCAAAGAATTTTCCAACAAACTTAATTAGTTCGTATTTCTGTTAACAGGACCGCCATGGTGAAGGTTATTTCTTACYCCCGTTGGACGATTCACAGGATTACAAACTCATTTCAGGCACGGAAAAAGACGGTAAAACAATGATAAAATTCAGCAGAAAGATTGACACTTGTGACAACCAAGACTACAAATTCGAGGTATGTGTTGTTCAATGTTGTTGGGGGTGGTTATTGATTAGAATTAAAAGGGTGGTTCTGATTAGAGGGTGGAACGGGTGCCATGATAGTGCAGATGATACCTAGACAACGCAAAAATGACAAAGACATGTTTACTTTAGATTTATTTGATTTCAGAGCTTTTAATTAGGAATAAAGTTAGCATCAGTTACCACATATGTTTATTTACTTTGCATAGTTTCTTTATTTGCACATTTCGGTAAGTACAGCAAAAATCATCGGTTTGTTTGCAGTTTCTTCTTCGGTACTAATTTGCCGGATCTTGAACAAATTACAGCTAGTCTAGTCAGTTTTCCCACCTCATTTTGTTCACAAACCCGAGATTTACCACAGGGAGCCCAATTTAGATAAACGTCAAAGTTGAAAATAAAATCGGGATATACATTGAATAATTATAAATTACTCTAAAGAGTATTTACTATGGAAATCACTAGAGTGGTAAAACATCCGTTGGAATGCACGTCTTGCTGCGGTAGATTTATGTACCACGTGACCATGAAAAGGGATTCACAATGTATGGCATGTTTTTGAGTGAGTGGCCGTAATGCTTGTTGCTGTCATAAAAGGAAGTACCGCTCTCGTCAAGAATCTTCAGCTTGAACGGGTCAACTTAGTTCACATATAGTCCAGATGATCATGGAAATCATTCAAGTTTGCATTAGTGAACTCTTTAATTTTTCTATCGAACGCTACTACAATCACATCACATCAGGGGCGTAGCGAGGACCTAGGAGCTGGGCTTTCGTTTTGGTTTAATATGTTTTGTTGT